CTCCCTATGTAGACCAGGCTGGCCTTGAACTCATAGAGATCTACCTGCCTCCAAGTGCTGGGACTAAAGGCATGTGCCATCATGCCTGGCTGTGTCAGTACTTTTTTTAAAAATTTTAAATAACATTCCACTATATGAATACTATATTTTGGTTATCCATTCATCAGTTGATGGGCCTGAATTTGGGTTATTTATCCTTTTGACTATTAAGAATAATGCTACTCTGAATATTCATGTAAAAGTTTAAAATTTTTTAATACATTTATTTATTTAGTATGTGTGTGCATTCATGATGTGTATTTGGGGACATGTGTGCCACAGTGTGTGTGTGTGAGGTCAGAGGACAACTTTGTGTAGTTGGTTCTCTCCTTCCACCTTTTTTTTCCAACAGGGTCTTAGTGTGTAGCCGAGGCCTGTGTAGAACTCACTGTGTAGACCAAGCTGGCCTTGAACCTGCAATTCTTCTGCATCAGCCTTCTGAGTGCTGGGATTACAGGTGTGAGCCAGCACACTTAGCTTGTTTACAAGTGATTGTGAGGGCATATTTTCATTTCTCCTGAGTGTATCCTAGGAGAATTGCTGGACCACAGGGTAGTAGCACTGTGGTGTTTTTTTAGAAATTGTCAAATTGTTTTAAAATGGGTCTGCCATTTTATTCTGCCACCAGCAATGTCTGTAGGTTCCAGTTTCTAGACATCATTCCTGACTTTTAAATATTTAAATATTTGACTTTAAAAATTATATCCATTCCAGCTAGGCATGGTGGCACATGCCTTTAATTCCAGCACTGGGGAGGCAGAGGCAGGCAGATCTCAGTTCAAGACCAGCCTTGAGTTCCAGGCCATCTGGGGCTACAGTGAGTGAGACTCTGTCTCAAAAAACCAAAAAAAAAAAAAATTATATTCATTCCAGTGGATATGACTTCCAGCTGTATTTTCCTGATGATATCTTCTCAGGTGTGTATCAACTGTTTGTGTATGCTTAATTTTTAAAAAGATTTTTGTTGGTGTGTGTGTGTGTGTGTGTGTGTGTGTGTGTGTCTGTCTGTCTGTCTGTCTGTCTATTCGCAGGGGCCTGCAGAGGCCAGAGAGGGCATTGCATCCCCTGGAGCTGGAATTACAGGCAATCATGAGCCACCCACTTTGGATGGTGGGAAATGAACTTGGGTCCTCGGGAAGAGCAGCGTGTTCCCTTAACTGCCGAGCCATCTCTCCAGATGCCCCTCCCCCTGCCCAGTATTTTTGTTTATGTGTATAGGTGTGTGCACATGTATGCATATGCCTGTGGAGTCCAAACAAGGATGTCAGATCCCTGGACCGAGTTAAGGATGGGTGTTAGCCATCATGTGAGGCTGGGAACCAAAGCCAGGTCCTCTGGAAGAGCAGGGAATGCTCTTAACTATTGAATCGTCTCTCCAGCTCCATTGTGTATCTTCTTTAGACAAGTGGCTGGTCAAATTCTTTGGTCATTTTTATTGTGTTTATTATTGAGTTGTAAAAGTTCTTGGCAGAGTCCCTTATTGGGTATATGATTTGCAAAACTTCTTTTTTCTCATTCTGTGGTTTGCCTCTTTCCTTTCCTTTTTTTTAAAAAAATGTATTGCATGCATGGCCATGTGCACCCACAGAGGCCAGAGGAGGATGTTGGCTAGTCTGCTGTGTCACTCTTATTCTTTTTTTTTTTTTTTTTTTTTTTTTTTTTTTTGGTCTTTTTGAGACAGGGTCTCCATGTAGCCCCAGCTGTCCTGGAACTCACTATGTAGACCAGGCTGGCCTTGAACTCACAGAGATCCTCCTGCTTCTGCCTCCCGAGCGCTGAGACTAAAGGCATGCGCCACCATGCCCACCTCTTTTATTCCTTTGAGACAGGATTTCTTGCTGAATCTGGAGCTACACTGGCAGCCAGCAAGCCCCAGTCAGTCCTCCTGTGTCCAACTTGCATTGCACTGAGGTTATAAGTACATGCATGACTACACTTAGCTCTTTTACCTAGGTGCTTGGGATTCGAACTCAGGCCCTTGTGCTTGCACATCCAGTTCTCGTATTCAATGAGACATTTCTCTAGTCCCTCTTCATTTTCTTGATGGTGTTCCTTGACACACAAAAGCTTATTTTAATGATATCTGAATTATTTATTCTTTTACTCCTTGTACTTTTGCTTTCATATTGAAGAAATCTTATTGATCATGGTGGCAAATTACCTATAATCCAGTACCTAGGAGGTGAGGGCAAGAGGGTTGTGAGTTCGAGGCCAGCTTGGGTATATAGCAAGTTAAAGGGCACCCTGACCTGTACATAGTAAAACTTGTGTCAAAGAAAAACAAAAACACTCAAGGCTAGGCTGTAGTTCAGTGGCTGATCACTTGCCAGGGTTCTTTGCCCAGTACCACCCCACTGCCACACCCGATGAGATCACGAAGATAGCCTATGTTTTCTAACGGAGTTTTAGTTTAAAACTTCGGTCTTAGTCCATTTCATACAAATTTTCCTGTAGTGTAAGGAAGGGCTTCGGGTTCACTCCTCAGCATCTGTTGAAGATTTTTTTCTTCAGTCTTAACATCTTGATGAAAATCACTTGACTGTAGTATGAGGCGTTATCTTGGCACCTGGTCAAAAATCAATCGGCTGTAAATGTGACTTCTATCTTGTAGTCTTGCTGCCTGCCTCTGATCTGTCTCTGTGTGCCATGGGTCCTCTGTGTGTTTCCATCCCTACAGAGGCTCTTTCCCCCTTCTAACCACCATGCAGTGCTTCATTGTGTGGAAAGAAACTGTAATTTATATAACAGACCTTCACTGATGGACATTTGGGGTACCAGTGATTTCTTGCTCTTACTGATGGAGCTACAGAGAACACTTTGGGGGGTGTTTATTCATTTCTGTGAAGGATATTGTTTGCTTTGTGCCAGGCATTCTTGGAGTCACCCAGTGGGTATATCAATAATAAAAGGTAAACAGGGGCAGGCGAGATAAAGTACTTGCTGCCAAGCCTCATGCCCTGAGTTCAATCCCTGGAACCTACGGTGGACTTGATGTATTCACTGAACAGAAAGAAACCAGTGTCCTTGGAGAACAGCCAAGGCCAGAGAATGATGGGGAGGGGCCAGGGGCTCCAGCCAGTATATACTTAGTAAGGCATGTGTGTTATTTCTCATACAAGGGAAGTTGCTGGAGGGTGTTGGGCAGAGAAGTGATTTGATCTAGTTCATGGCCTTAAAGATCACTACGGTTGTTTATGAGGCACTTGTGATTCCCACATTTCCAAGTGCTGAGTTCCCTGAAGTGGAATGACTAGGCGGACAGGTTTGGACATTTGAAATGTTCCTGCTTGTTGCCAACTGCCTCCCCAAAAGATAGCTCTGGGTTTTCACTCTGAGGGTGTTGCCATTGCCAGCAGTAGGTGAAGTTCCCAGCCCAGCCCTCGCCCTGGGGGAACCAGCACCCACCCTCCACTCTTTCCCTTGCAGGACCATCGCTGCTGCACGTGCACAGTAACTCTGGCTGCACCTCGGAGCCCTCGGGTAACACGGCTCCCCCTGAAACATGGCAGACGAAGACCTCATCTTCCGCCTGGAAGGTGTTGATGGTGGCGGGTCCTCCCAGACTGACCACGATGGGGATCCTGGTACAGACAGTGACGATGACGAGGGCTACTTCATCTGCCCTATCACTGATGATCCCAGGTCCAACCAGAATGTAAACTCCAAGGTCCAGAACTACTATAGCAACCTAATGAAAAAAGAGCAGTGTGTCTTTGCAGGGTCACCAGTTGGCTCCTTCCACTTCAAGGTGAGTGATCCTCATTGGCATCTGCTGTGAGGGGTGAGGAGTTGGGGTTCGATCTTGGCATCTTAACAGTCCCCAAACCCTGGCAGTATATTCCAAATGGGAGAATATTCCTGTTAGGCTGGGAGGGGTCTCTTGGTTTAAGACAGGCTTTATTACCATAGAGCACTATTTTTCAAATAACCATATTAAAAACCTTTTGTGGCCAGTGAGATGGCTCAGCAAGTACAGGCGTTTGCTGGCAATCCTGAGGAACTAAGTTTGATCCCTGGGATCTATATGGTGGATAGAGAACTGGCTCTTGCAGACTGTCCTCTGGCCTCCACAGCATGCTGTGTTCACACATGTGGATGTGCACATGTATGTGTGTGCACACACACTAAATAAATAAATAAACTTAAAAATAGCTGTCTAAAAACTTTTTAGTGAGTTGGGTGATGTGGCATGTGTCTTTAATCCCAGCTCTTGGGAGGCAGGGGCAGGTGGATCTCTGGGAGATTGAGGCCAGCCTGGTCTACATAATGAGTTCCAGGCTGGCTGGGATTAGGAAGACCCTGTCAAAAAAACAAAAACAAAAGCAAACAAACAAAATCTTTTAGTGAGTTTTGCCTGTTTTTATTTTTAAGAAATAGAACAAAATAGAAGTTAATAGAAAATATTAAAGAACGTTTTTGATTGCAAACATCTTGTCTCTTGAACATTTGTATATATATATATCTCTGTGCACATAAATTTGGTGAGCACATCAAATGTGAGCACCCCTACATTCAAGAAGGAATTGTACAGAATAGAATGGAAAATATTAAAGTGTTTTAAAAAGTACAAAGATCCCCTGGGTGTGGTAGCTCACACCTTGATCCCAGCACTCAGAGGCAAAGGCAGGCCAATCTCTGTGAGTTCAAGGCCAGCCTGGTCTACATAGTGAGTTCCAGGCCAGCTAGAGCTACAGGGAGACCAAAAAGACCAAAAAAAAAAAGTACAAAGATCTTCTTTTTCTTGGGTTTTTCTTGTCGTTTGCAATAGGATCTCACTAAGTAGCTCAAGCTGGTCATGAACCCATGATCTTCCTGTTTCACCTGGGGAGTGCCAGGATGATTGGCCTGTGCCAGCATGCCTGGCTCAAGATCTTTTATTTATTTATCTTGCCTTTCCTTTCTTTTTCTTTTATTGAGACAGGGTCTCATGTGACTCAGGTTGGCCTCAGACTATGTTGCCAAGGATGACCTTGAACTTCTGATTTTCCTGCCTCCACCTTTCAAGCCCCGAGGCCGTAAGTGTGAACCACCACACTTGGTTAAGATCTGCCTTCGTGGAGCATAGGTACAGTAAGCCACCCTTATGCCCAAGAGGTATATGCCAAGGCTCCAGGAGTTGCCAGAAACATGAGTGGTACCTAACCTTACATGTACTGTTATTCTATACACACATACCTATGATAAAGGTTTAACTCATAAATTAGGCACATTAGGAGATTAACAGTAACTAATAATAAAATAGAATAGTTATAACAATGTAATGTATTAAAAGTTATGTGCTGGGGCTGTCGCTCAGTGGTAGGGCTCTTACTTCACATATACGAGTGTCTGGGCTCCATCTCCAGCTCTGCAAACAAACCAACCAAACCCAAACCAAACCCACCAAACTAAAGTTGTGGACATGCAGTCTCTCTCATTCTCTCAAGATAACTCATTTTACTGTGTATATGTAGATAGTTCTGTGTTATCCACTGTTAGTCACAAATAACTGAAACCACAGAAAAGGAAGCCAAAGATAAGGGACTACAGTCCACACCCTTCATATATGCAGCGATGTAGGTTGTTGGTGGTGACCAACTTCTAATGAAGAACCCATTGCTAATTTTCAAAAAACACATATTTAAGGCTGGTGATGTAGCTCAGCTGGTAGAGTACTTGCCTAGCACACATGAGGTTTAAACCCAGTGTATGTGATGGTATACACCTGTAATCCCAGCATTTGGGAGATGGTGGAGGCAGGATGATCGTAAGTTCAAGATCATCTTTGGCTACATAGCAGGTTAAGACTGGCCTGGGATACATGAGACCCTGTCTTTAAAGAAGATAAAATAATGGCTGGGGAAATGGCTCATCTGTGAAGTGTGCTTAGCACCCAGGCCAGGTGGCTCACAACTATCTGTAACTCCAGTTTCAAAGGGTCTAATACCCTCTTTGGCCTCCATGGGCACCCACACACATGTCATGAGCGTACATACGAACACACACACATACATACACACACACACATGCACACACACAAAATAAGCCAATCTTTTAAAAAATTAGAAAGAGCTGGGCGTGATGACATACACCTTTAATCCCAGCGCTCAGGAGGCAGAGGCAGGTGGATCTCTGTAAATTAAGGGCTAGCCTGGTCTACATAGCGAGTTCAGGCCAACTGGGGCTACAGGGAGACCCTGTCTCAAAAAGACCCCCCCCAAATTAAAAAGATAAACAAAAACATGTATTTAGCCTTGTGCTTTTCTTGAAAACCATTTAGTAGGTACTGTAGGTACTGAATATCAGGCTAAACATTGAGTACAGAGAAGCAAACAGTTGTCCATCCTCTGCTTTCAGCTGTGAGGGAAAGGCTGAATTCTTGTTAACCATTGATTGTATTTGAAACAGTATCTCAGATTGTGTTGTATACTGTAGCTACTTAATAAATATTATTTCCCTTTCAGTTTCTAGCATATGGCCCTAACTGTTTGTCACTGACTATGAAAAATAAAGGATTTTAAGGTCTTTTCAGCCGCTGGGAGTATAGCTCAGTGGTAGAGCACATGCTTACCATGTACAAGGCCCCGAGTTCCATCCCCAACATTACCACTCATAAATTCAAAACAAAACAAAACAAAGCCCATTGCATCCATTAACTACCCTTTACCAAATTTGTTGCCCCGAGTTCCATCCCCAACATTATCACTCATAAATTCAAAACAAAACAAAGCCCATTACATCCATTAACTACCCTTTACCAAATTTGTTTGCTGATAAAAGTTCACTATGGAAATTTCTGCCCTGGATAGTGTCAGCATTTGGGGGTACAGCGTAGGTCCCCACTATCCCTCAGCAATCTAAGGAATTCTTCTAGGACCGTGACTCAGGCCAAACCAGGATTCATGGCTTGAGTACAGAGCAGAATTTCAGGATTAGCCAGTTCCTGAAGCAGAGTTAGGTTTTGTTGTGGTTTGGTTTGGTTTTGGTTTTTGAAACAGGATCTCCTTATGTAGCCTTGACTGGCCTGGAACTCTTTATGTAGACCAGCTGTCTCAAAGTCATAAAAATCTGCCTTCCTCTGCCTCCCAAGTGCTGGGATTAAAGGCATGTGCTACCACACCTGACCAAGCTGGGGTTTAATAAAAATAAAATTGTGTGTGTGTGTGTGTGTGTGAGAGAGAGAGAGAGAGAGAGAGAGAGAGAGAGAGAGAGAGAGAGAGACAGAGAGAGAGACAGAGAGAGAGAGAGACAGAGAGAGAGACAGAGACAGAGAGAGAGACAGAGAGAGAGAGTATGTGTTTAGGGGAAGGCCAGAAGTTGATGTTCGGTGTCTTCCTTGATTGCTGTTCACTTTATTTATTGAGGCAGGGTCTCTGTGGACCCAAAGCTCACTGATTCTGGTTGCCCTGGCAATCCCCTGTCTCTGGGTATGAAGGATCCAGCTCCATTCCTTAGGCTTATGGGACAAACACTTTATCCACTGAACCATAGCTCTAGCCCCAATGAAGAGTTTAATATAGGCTTAAACATAGGCTTAAATATAGGCTTAAAATGTTTCGATAGTGCTGGAATTCTTGCCTCTCATCTGGTGAGAGTCTTTTACCACACTCTGGGTAAGAGCCCTGCTCCCTTTCACTTCACCATAACTTCCCTGTCTTCTGTCCTGCCTCAAAATCCATATTCATCCAGTTTTGTGTTAAATATTTTTAAAGATTTTTTAAAAATTTTTATTTATTATTTTTATTTTATGTGTATGCGTGTATTGCCTGCATGTAGGTAGGTGCACCCATGTCATGCAGTGCCCGCAGAGGACAGAAAAGGCTTTTGGATCCCCTGGTTAACTGCTATGTGGGTGCTGAGATTCGAACCCAGGTCTTCTGCAATAACAGTGTTCTTAACTGCTGAGCCATCTCTCCAGCCCTGTGTTAAATATTTTTAAATTTTTATTTATGTATGTATGTATGTCTTTTTGAGACAGGGTCTCCTTGTAGACCCAGCTGTCCTGGAACTCACTATGTAGACCAGGCTGGCCTCAAACTCACAAAGATCCGCCTGCCTCTGCCTCCCGAGTGCTGGGATTAAAGGCATGTGCCACCATGCCCAGCCATTTATTTATTTTTATTTTATGTGTATGAATATTTTGCCTGTGTGTATGTAAGTGCACCATGTGGATCTTCTGGAACTGGTGTTACAGACGGTTGTTAGCTCTCATGTAGGTGCTGGGAATCAAATCTGGGTTCTCTGCCAGACCAGCCAGTGCTCTTAACTGCTGAGCCATCTTTCTAGCCCCCTAAATATTTTGGCATCATGCTACATATGTGTTGGGGTGGGTCCAGAGGCATGATGTAAAATGTATGTATTTATTTTGATTCTGATCAGAAAGCCATTCTGTAGCTCTTCTGGATTGAAGAAGAGAATGCTTGCTTTGTTGGGGGTTCCTGTTCATACCTCAGCAATGCTGGTCTAAAGGAGAGGGAAGAAAGGTAAACATTATTGAGCTTATTTAATAATTGGTCAAGCAGAATTTAAAATGCAAGGCTGAGCCAGGTGTGGTGGTGCACGCCTTTAATCCCAGCACTCGGAAGGCAGAGGCAGGCGATCTCTGTGAGTTCAAGGCCAGCCTGGTCTACATAGTAAGTTCCAGGACAGCTGGGGCTACAGGGAGACCCTGTCTCAGAAAGTCCAAAAAATTAAAAAAATAAACTAATCTGTTAGCCTTATTTGATTTAGTCTTTATAGACAGTTCTGTTTGCATTATAAGCAAAACAC